TCTCAATAAAGTCTGCAAATATAAGTCTTTGTCTTTCTGACCTGTAGTGTTCCTTGAACTGGAGGCCCTGGCCTCATCTTTTCCTGTATTCATTCTGAAAATATATAAATAGTTTTCATAAGTCTGCTGAGTTGATCTGCTAAAGAGTTATCTTTTCCTTTTATGTGTTCTAAGGATATGTTGTATATAGATGTAGCGTCTAAGAAATTTAACCATCTTCTTTTACTACTACTTTTTCCTTCTGTTTTCTGATGAAATTTTACAATGGCTTCGCAGTCAGTTCTTACTAAAATTTCTTGTTTGTTCATAATGTATAATTTTAAACTGTTTAAGCCATATATGACTGCTAGTATTTCTGCGTCTATACTACTCATGTTTCCTTTTTCTTTGTACTTTCCGCTTTGATAAGCGTAGATTTTTTCTTCTTTCTTTTCTTCGTATTTATTTTTCTTAGTTTTTAATACTGCTCCCCATCCCTCTAAACTTCCATCTGTTTCTACTATTGGATTGTCTGTTTCTAGGGGGAGAGATAGGTCTGGTATATTTTTAACCATTTTTTTAACTTTTGAACTGATTTTATATCTTCAGTATTAAAAGTCTTTTGTCCATGCGTTCCTATTTTTGAGTATAGTGGTCCTGCCACCTTTCCTAAGTCTTTTATGAAATTCCTAGCATAATTTAATATTCCAATGTTTTTTTGTAATTCTTTAGTGTTGTCTAATTTATCTGGCATAGCTAAAACTTTTTTGGCTATGTGTGGTTGTAATTTTATTCTTCCGTTTTCAATTTCTACTCCTAAGAATTTTGTAAGACTTTTTCATACTTCCTTCTTTTTCTTACTAATAATTATTCCATTATCTACAAATAGTTTAAATACTATTTGTAAATGCCCTAAGTGTTCTCTAATAGTATGGCTGAATACTAAAATATCATCTACATATACTAATATAAAACTTTTATATTCTCTAAAAATATTATCCATTTTTCGCTGGAAAATTTGAGGGGGGGGGGGTGTTTTTAATCCAAATGGCATCACTAACCATTTGAAGTGTCCTTCTGAACACGTAAAAGCAGTCAATTCTATGATGTCTTCATGCATTTTCACTTGCCACATATTTTCTATAAAAAAAAAAAAAGTGAGTGTTTCTGTACAAAGAGTGTGAGTATTAAGAGCACCCGGCAGGAAAAGAAAGATTATTTTCAACATTTGAAATTCGAACTTCAAATCCAGATCTCCTCCTATAAATAGAGACCATTTGCAAGAAGAGAAGATAGAGCGAAGAACAGAGCAAGCAGAGCATATTAGAGAGATTAGTTTGAGAGTTCTTAAAGTCTTAAGTTTTACATATTTTCTAAAAAAATACGATGATAGATGGTCAGAATAAAAAAATTCCATAATAGGATTAACAGAAGTAGACATGACTAACAATGGAAGAATCTTTTACTGCAACCCAGACTTCATGATAAATTCAAATGAATTTGGAAAATACATAAAAATAGAAATTCAGACTAAAGGTTACGAAGAAATGAACTGTGAAAATAATTTATTAATATGCGTCGGTTTCATAGGTAAATTAGCCTCTAACAGTAGTTCCAAGTTTAAAATTAAAATAGACGATGCAGTAGGATTAATGGGAAACAAAGGGATAAAATTAATGAAACCTTTAAAAATAGACTCAGAAGAATATGCAGGTAGAGAATGGAACTTAGAAAAATTCTGTAAAAAAGAAGTTCTAAGACCAAATGACCACCTTACATATACCAATAATAAAGGACAAACCTCAATTAGATTTACAGACTATAAATATACCGACCAAAAAGAAATAGATGAAGATTTGGATGATAATGAGACAACCATAAATATGGAAGGAATGAATATTCAAATCATAAAAGAATATGACTATGAAGTAGAAATAGCAATAGCAAGGGCAAAAGAATTACACCAATTAAATAAAATAACATTCTTTAAATGTAAAGGGTGTAAACTAGGAGGAATCGAATTCTCTATAGTAGAACAATACTTTAAAGAATGCAAATTTAGAACAGATAATTATGGGTATAGACAGGCAGAATATACCCAAGAAGAACGCGATGACGAGACAACACGGAATTTAAAAGAATTTATGGAAACAACTTCTTCAAGTTCAAGTCCCTTCCAAAAGACAACCCCAATACCACCAGTAGAATATACTATAGGTAACTTACTACGACACCATGTATTTAGACAAGACCCGGCCACAGAACCAGAAATGGTTAAACCTATAGGAATAAGAATGCCAATAGAAGCCCCTATCAAGCTCCAAGACGGAGGAGATAGAGGAAAAATACTAAATATAGCAGCTCATGACCCTTAATATGTAACTCAATAATAGATGTATGGAAAGGAATAGTAGTAGCAAACTATATACACCATTAAAGTGAAACAGATGCAGAAACTATGTATAGATACATGGAGACTTTTCTAGGAGAATCAATCAAAGGAGTATGGGAAGCATATTAAGTAGCTTATCCTCAAGAATTCCAAGAACTAGTAAATATGGGACCAAACTCGTATAATTTTACTAATAAAATACACAGCCTAATAACAGGAGAAGACCCAAATAGCGGATTAGTAGTGTTACAAAAGAATGCACTAATAAAATTAGAACAACTTAGTATAACAAATTGGAGCCTATAAAGAACTTTTTAAAAGATAATTTTTACTATTGCGCTATAAGCAGTAATGCGTTTGACCAAAGCTTAGGAAAAAAGCTTTTTAACAAACTCCCTGGAGCCTTAGGAAGAGAAATAGAAGAAAGATGGAATAAAAGAGAGGGATTAATGCAAAATCCAAACGCTAACTGGTCTATAGGACATAAAATACAACATGTCATGAAAATATTACAAGAAAAATGTACAAATATACAAATACAAAAATAATTAAAACAAAATGAGACAGATTTTTGTAAAAATATATATACAACACAAAGCTATGATCAAAGTACACCAAATTTTTTTTACAAAAGAACATATCAAAATAACCAAGAGTACAAACCTAGGAAAAAGTATTATCTAAAAAGATCTACGGCAAGAAAGCCTTACCTAAATAAAGATAGACACGTAAGAAAACATAATAATAACAGAATTTACAAAAAATAGACTATCTTGTTTTACATGCGAAAGTGAAGAACATCTAGCTAATACTTGTCCAGGTAGAATAACAGTAGAACGAGAAATGCCCAACTTATAGAAGACTTCCAAGAAACCCTGATAAATGTAGATGAATACATGTCAGATAATGAAAGCATATATTCGGTAATAAGCATAGATGCCATAGAAGGAAGACAACAAGATTCATTTGATTCAGAAGAAGAAACTCTAATAAACGAAATAGGATTGGAAAAATTAGACTTAAACATCAAAGATTTTACTTTTGTTAATATATAATGCGATCACCAATTTTCCAAAGGAAAAGGGTTAGATAGTCAAAAATGTTTTAATTGCACAAGATACCCCAGTAAAGACAGAAGAGCTAAATGTATGAATTGCTATATAGAAGGATGCCTTATGTGCATTGACAAGATATTTAACATCAAAATTATAGATCAAACAATAAGTACAAAAGAAAAAACATTAATATCTTTAGAAAAAAAGATTGATAGTTTAGAAGACAGAATAAGTAAATTAGAAAAGGGAAAAGAAAAAGTAGAAGAGGGAACCAACCAAAATACAACGCCAGAAGAAGAAATCGAACTCTTAAATGAAAAGGAAGACTATAAATCGTTTGAGGGATTAATTCCTTCCATATTGATGGTTGTCTCATTATCATCCAAATCTTCATCTATTTCTTTTTGGTCGGTATATTTATAGTCTGTAAATCTAATTGAGGTTTGTCCTTTATTATTGGTACTAGATGAGTATGGCCCGTGATATCACGGGCCCAACATTTAACTTTGAAGTGATTATATTTTTATGCTATGAAAAGTCACTCTAATATAAAGCAGGTCAATACTATATTTGTAGAAAATACTACTGAATGTAGAGACTGAATTTTGAATTTTATGCTCTGAAATTACAAATAATTAAATCCACTTAATTTATTAGCAAAGTATATCAATTCCCGCACCATCAAACTCCCGAGTAATTAAGAATTGGAGTTATTGGACCGAGGAAAAATGCAATATGCTCGATAACACTATTCTTACAATGAAAGATCTAACAAAATGTGACTAAAAATGTTACACTATTGCCGTGATTCAACACCATTTGTCAATGTCAAATGATACAAAAATGAAAATTTTGGTCCGTAATCTTGTTACTTTTATGTTAATGAATGAAAGCCAACACTAAAGAGACATATTTATCTTAGAGAAATAGATTTTCAATAAGGTAAAAAAAAATCCTCTATAGCAACTTTCAATATGGGAATGAAATGAAAAGTGATTTACCTTGTCATTTTTCTTTGGACAATCTCATGGAATAATCAGACTTTTTTTCCCACAAATAATAATTTAGCTTTTCAATTGTACTTAATTCCTTTTCCAAACCTATAACTGTTCCTTTCTTGTTATATACAACCAAAACTTTATATTCTGCAAAACACAACTGATTACCTCCAATCATTCTTCTATTAGCACCTCAAAAAAGTAAAGTGCTGGGGTAGAAGTAGTAGTAGTAGTAGTACTTTATGATATTTAAACAAAGCACTAATTTTTTTTACATTGAGACAAAAATTCAAAAAATAATTTTAATAAAGTAAGTTAAAATGATTGGATTTCATAATATCATTCAAGAACATAGTCGAGGTAATGATCTGGCATAGTTATGGCTTGATACTCTTGATTTCAAGATCTTTGCCATTTGATTTTGTATTTTCCTACAAACTTTTTCCAATTCTAGCACTCTCCATTGCATACCTTGTAAATGTTCTTTGAGCTTCTCATTCTCAATTGAAAGATCCAGCTTTCCTGCGTATAACACGATCTGCTGATCTTTGTTTCCTGAATTTTCTGTTTCCACAAAACTAAAGGGAGAATCGAGCTGACTTGATTGGTTTCTTGAAGCAAGCTTTAGAGCTTCACTTGCTAAGTGATGAGAGCTTGTCCAGGAGATTTTGAAGGGAAATTTTTATTACGAGCAAGGTGGCTACAACCCTCAAATGACAGCTTCTCGTAGCTCAGCCCACTACATACTTTCATCTTTTTGACTTCAGATAACCTTCGACCGACCTGCAATATGTCATCAATGATCAATGTTTAACCAATCAGCTAAATTTTGGAACAATGCCTAAATATTTTACCATATTCTTGAACATGAACTTGTAGTGAACTTCTGTGTATGTATTAAGCATCAAAATGCAAAGAAACAAGTAATAAATTAAAGGCCTCTTAGGGAGAATCGAAAAGGCATACCTCAAGATACATAACCTTGGCATAGTATATTGCATCATACGAGTCCCTAGCAGACTCGGGAGCGATCTGACCAGGGCAAGGCACTTGGAAGGTTTTAGACATGAATGAGGAGCTACTTCGGTTATGTTCAAATCTTTCAAGCTTGTAATTTTCCTCATTCGAGTTAACTGAACACAACATGCCTCAAATCTATTAAGCTTGTATTTTCCTTATTCGAGTTAAGGGAACAAAACACACCTCTTTGCTGATGAATGATTTCAATAACCTAAGAACTAAAGTCACATCATATAAATAACTTGATCCAACCGGTGACGGGAGGAGAAGGTTATCCAAAGTCGCTTGATCCAACTGGGTGCCAATCATGCTCTCTTAAGTTGTTCCTAGAGCACTTGCTCATCTTTAAATTTAGAACATTTGAAGCATTCCAGATAAGTTTTTGAAGCAAATGCAACTCTAGCAAATAAAGCATCTCAATAACTGTGCAAACTTGAAATCCATATGTTTCATTGTTGTTGGAACAACAAGAGAGATGGAAGAACTTACCGTGGGTTAATTTCTTGCATCAAATGATTCTAGAGCGGTGTGGGTTATATATCTAGCATCGGATGATTCTAGAGCTCATGTGCTCTAGAGTTGTGGAGATTATTGCCTTTGTTCGTGTAAAATTACCATTTTGGCCTTGGTCGTCCCTTGCTTCCCTCTTCTATATAGTAGAAATTTCTATTTTGGCCACTACCAAGTAAGCGGGAGCAATTCTCTACAAAGATAAGAAGCAGAATGATCACCAATACAAGATATCAGCATTCAGAAGAGAGACAGGAAGGGGTGGGATCAGACTGTTACCTGGAGAATACCACACCACCTTATCCTATTCATGTAGATTCAATATCTTAGCTTGTCAAGATCATGAAAATAACCCCTTTCACAGTTCAAACGATGAAGTTAGGCTTGTAATGACTTCGGGAACAAGAAAGATGAGATGCAAGACCAGGTTTCACAAATGCATAACTAATCATTCGTTCTAAATGAATAGCTAATGTTCAAACATGGTATGGTCTGGGATAGGTGGCCATTAGAAAACGAAAAAGGATATGTAAATTCATCAAAGCCAATACGTATATAGTTGCAACTTGTTGCAAACTTGCAATCCCTGTAAAGGTAGGCAGAATCAGAGAGAGGGGGGGCTAATATAGCAATAATCCCCTAAAGGTAGTTGCACTCCTAACTTTGCGAATAAAGAGAGTACGTGTGGCCTTCTTGATTACTTTAGGAGATAAAAAAGATGCATCAAGTCCTACAGAACTATTCATCAACTTTTAAAGCATAGGATTGACTAATATGGGATGTTCCCCACTGATGACTTCCTAAATTACTTTTTCAGGTTTGCAGGAGATTATGCATTTGGATGATAGCATCAACAGACTATGCAACCTCACCAGAGAAAGAAGGAAAAGTTACTTTAATTAATTTTAGTATACTTGTGGCAACTGCAGCAAATGAAGTCTATAATAATAATATTAGATATTTAAGTATTATGGAGTTGTTAATATAAATATATATGAAAGACACTACTTTTTCTAATCCTAAATTTTGGACCAGACATCATAATTTTCACAACTCAATGATAGTAATCTTAGTGTCATCATGTTATTACAAATTTGCAGTTCGTAGCACATTCTAGAGTTCCTTTTTTTCTTCTTCTTTGACTTCAAACAAACTAAAATGTGATAAATCACTTCAGGATGTCGTTAGTTAATCTTAACCTATAATGATTCCACAAAAATATTACTACAGTTTAATCAATTAAGGCAGGTAAATAATCACATGTTACAATCAGATTATGAACTTACAATACTTGACAAGAAAAAGTCCCTTCATAAGGAATGATAACACAATTCTTTTCATTTACCAAAGTCTATCTACAAAAATGTAATACTTTGGAGAGAACCAACAACACAGAAACTTAGTTCTATGTCAGCCCTTTGCTTAGCGGGATTGGGACTAAAAAAAATGGTTGGATTGAGACTAAAAGAACGGTTGGGACAACAAACATCAATCTTTGAATTGGATAAATAAAGATTGATTGTAAATTTCATTATAGTTCTATAATTCAGAGTATCATTTTCAATTTTTTTTAAAAGAAAATGGGGAATCATGCTTACTGTGATGAGTTTAGTAGTCAATTCCATGTGCTTGAAAGTTCTACTATGTCTTCCCAAATCAAACTTATTTCCTATATAAAGTTGCGACATATCGACTCCATTAATCCTACCTTTCCCCCTTTATGATGATAATATGAACTTGGACCATGACATTGCTCGCTTGTACTCTCCTAATGACGACGACCTTTCTGATTTCTCAGTATTCTCTACTTTCTTAAACCAGTTAATATTATTCATAATAAATCATCATATCTTTCCATCAAATAAAAAACACTAAGTAAATACTCAAACGGTTCTACATATTCTCCTATTTATTTTTAAGAGAGAGGAGGTTGTTCAAGAACAATTCGAATGGAGAAATTAGGAACAATCTGATTAGATATTCTTTGAGAGATCGATTATAATGTTCAAAATTCCAATTTTAATAGCGTGGATTACTGAAACAGAGAGTAAGGGAACATTTATATACAAAGGATTACAGAGAGAAAAAGTTAGGAGCAAAAATGAGCACGAGAGAGAGAGAGAGAATGAATAATCGAGAAGCTCACGAGTCGGTGACAGATAGAAATAGATTGAAAGAGAATTTTTCTGACTCATGATTTAGTTATTATTATAATACATAGATTCCATTATTGGTAGTCCAAATTATGTAGGACAATGTGAGTAAACTTTCATGTTGGCTCAGCAAAATATACCGGCAAAGAATGCATCAAACACAAAAGCATATATAGGATGAAGAAATGAAAATCACAGGTTGAAGGGGAAAATGGATCAAATCTTGAGATAGTTATACTCACAAAGTTAGGTACTCTTAGTCCATCGCCTGCAATTAGTAAAATTGAAATCAAACTTGGACCCATCTAATAATATTTAGATCACACTGATTCAAATTCAATCTTAAAAATACCAAAATATGACAATAAATAGAAGTAAACATAAAATAATAATTGGTTGTACAAACACCTAGAAGGGTTCGCTTATAGTTATTCAAGTACATATACTTCCCATCCCTAATCTACCTAAAAATATATCAATTTGTTGTCACACCTATACAACCTAGATGTGTATAATATGTAGTACTAATTAATAAGCTAATTGTAATTTTTTGAAATACTATACTATCAAGACTCACCATTAAGTAGTTTGAGATCATGCCGCATGCAAAATGTTGTCCCATAATTTCTATCAATTTCATATGGTGGGCTCTTTACACACCTATGTGATTGAAGATCTAAAAATCATCCAGCTTTGCTACACAACCATAAAAAAAGAAGTAAAAGAGAGTTAGAACAAGTAATTGTCCTGAATATTCTTTAATCACCTCCATTGAATTACTACACTAACGGGTTGTTTCATGGGATTAGTTATCCTGTGGGATAACTTATTTCATCATTTTAGTACAAATAATGGGATAAATAATCCCATAACTAACTAATACCCCTAATCATATGCAAAATAAAATGGTCTTGCATTTCATCTCAAAATATTAACCTTTATACCAAAGGACCTCTAAGTTCATCTAATATTAAACACTCTCAAATTAATGCTTAGTTACATTAGTGTAGCTTAGAAAGTAACTCGTCGAGCTCCCTTCAACTTTGCGCTTTTGCGGAGTAGGCACCATCAGAGATATTGACGATTTTCCATACGTTCAAAAAAAATTTCTTCTCAAATTGTGTTAAGTTAATAAACAAAACAACTGAGTTTGTTTTTATAGAAATTTCAATAAAACTTGTAGAATCAAGTTAAATCCTAGAGCTATAAAATGAAATTGGTCTTTTCCTTTACCTCTTTTAAGATTTTCTTGTCCTCATTCATCTACTAAATAGAGAAGCTTTGTGTCTACCGGTAGGCATTTGAGACTCTAATGTTGGAACATAACAAGAAATTGGAACCTGAAAATTTGATCAACTATAATTTTATGAAGTCGAAATTGAAATTTACATACCGAATCAAAAAATAATAATATCTTCGAAATCCACCATTGTTGAAGCTTGCGTCTTAGACCAATTTGGAATTGATGTGGGTGATATGCAACAACAATAATAAAAAATAACTAAATACTTCAGCTGATTTGAGTCTGCAAAAGTAGAAGTGGTCAAGTAATTTGGGTTCATTCATGACAAATAAAACTCAAATAACTAAATAGATGAAGATCAATAGAGAAGAAAGAAGACAGTAAGAAGTAGAGTAGAGAAACAATCTGACGTTAAGACAATTTGCACAAAGATTGAGAGAGAATCATACCTTAAATTCTAAAGAAAGTTCTTGAAACTCTGTAGAGAATTGAATGAATACTTCGACAGTTTTTTTTCTCACAATCATACTCTAGAAATTTTCGGAAAAAAGAAGAAGGAGATGCTTCTAGATTCTTTATAATAAAGGAGATCCGGAATGTAATAGGAAAAAAAAAAAAAGAAACAGATGCTTCTAGATTTTCATTTTTAACATTAAATCATTGATAAGTCAATTTACTCTTTTACCCTTAAATGTAGTCTAATTTTCATAACTAACCTGGTCGTCCTCCACTTCATGTTTCTATATAATAGAAATATGTAAGGTGCTCATTTGGTCTTAGAACTTCGTTTTTACAGAATTTTTCTCAGTTCCATTCTCTACCTGCATATTCTTCTGAGTCTATTTTTAAAGTTTTCATTAATTTTATCCCTTTGTTTCCCATTAATCCTACTGCATCGTCTATTTTAATTTTAAACTTGGAACTACTGTTAGAGGCTAATTTACCTATGAAACTGACGCATATTAATAAATTATTTCCACAGTTCATTTCTTCGTAACCTTTAGTCTGAATTCCTATTTTTATGTATTTTCCAAAATCATTAGAATTTATCATGAAGTCTGGGCTGCAGTAAAAGATTCCTCCATTGTTAATCATGTCTACTTCTGTTAATCCTATTATGGATCTTTTTGATTCTGACCATCTATCATCGTATAATGTAATTAGTACTTTAGTGCCTAGGTTTTTTCTAGTTAAACCTTTAAGTCCAATTACTACCAATCCCATATGCATGAGATTCATTCGTCTTTTTTGTATTTCTTTCATAGATTCTTTACTAATTAAACTTATATTTTCACTATCGTTTTCTGATACACATAAATGTTCTTCTCTATAATGTCTGTATAAGTGTGTTGTTGAAGAAAATATTTCTATATTATATAGTACTTGTGGATTTAGTAGTCTTCATCTATTTTGTTGAAAAATTTCTATATCTTTATCCACGTCTATTATTTCATCTAATTGCTGCCTTCTACTGGGTCTGAAAATAAGAAGATCAACTTCAAGACATAGGTCAGCAGCATTTATGGTAAGAAACCATAGCGAGATAGTAAGAGGAAAAGCAAGAATGGTAATAAATAAGAGACTTAATGATAACACCAGAATGGATGGCTATAAACTACCAGACAAATTAGAATTAATATTAATAAATTGAATACAAGGAAGAAAAATATTTAGCAAGTTTGATTGTAAATCTGGATATTGGCAAGTGAAAATGCATGAAGACAACATAGAATAGACTATTTTTACCTGTCCAGAAGGAAACTTCGAATGGTTAGTAATGCCATTTGGATTAAAAACAGCCCCCCCCCCCCAATTTTCCAGCGAAAAATGGATAATATTTTTAGGGAATATAAAAGTTTTATATTAGTATATGTAGATGATATTTTAGTATTTAGCCATACTATTAGAGAACACTTAGGGCATTTACAAACAGTATTTGATAAGCGCAGATTTTTTCTTCTTTCTTTTCTTCATATTTATTTTTCTTAATTTTTAATACTGCTCCCATCCCTCTAAACTTCCATCTGTTTCTACTACTGGATAGTTTGTTTCTAGGGGGAGAGATAGGTCTGGTATATTTTTAACCATTTGTTTTAACTTTTGAACTAATTTTATATCTTCAGTATTAAAAGTCTTTTGTCCATGTGTTCATGTTTTTGAGTATAGTGGTCCTGCCACCTTTCCTAAGTCTTTTATGAAATTCCTAGCATAATTTAATATTCCAATTTTTTTTTGTAATTCTTTAGTGTTATCTAATTTATCTGGCATATCTAAAACTTTTTTGGCTATGTGTGGTTGTAATTTTATTCTTCCGTTTCCAATTTCTACTCCTAAAATTTTTATAAGACTTTTTCATAGTTCCATCTCTTTCTTACTAATAATTATTTCATTATCTACAAATAGTTTAAGACGAATTCATTATTCGTGCTAACATATTGTTTCCTAGTCTATCTTGAGAGAAACTAGCCCTTTGTCTTTCTTGGGAACTTCTATTCCTGTTTGAAAAAATGTCCATGTTTTGTCCTTTTTTGTTAATTTTGGTCTATCCTTTTGGGGGATTATTTCTGTCTTTTTTAGTTGTTCAATTAGAGCTTGTATATTGTTGCCTTGTTTTATTTTTTCTTTAGGGATTTTAATTTCTAATAAATTATCTAATTTTTTATTGATTTATGAGATTTTATCTTCTAGCTTCTTATTTAATTCTAAAAGCGCAAGGATTATTAAATTGTTTTGTTTTACTCCTATTAGGTCAGTTTTTCCTAGTGGGATATATTCAGATAAACCTTCAGGGTTGACTTGAAATTGAGCTGCTCTCTTTAGAACTTCCTGGTAAAAGGGGTCGTTCATGAAAGAGTCAATTCCTTTAGTTTAGTTAGTTCTTTCTTAATTTCTTTAATTTCAGTGTTGATTTGTACTATTGTATTATTGTTAGTTACGCTATTATTTCTTGCTGAAAGTAGTTGTATTTTTGTAGTTATTTCTAGTTGTTGTGTTTTTAGAAAATCAAAGTTACGTTCTATTATTTCTAATGATTTGTTCTGTTTATGTTGTAGGTTTTCTAAGGTTTCTACTAACTTTATCGTTTTATCGTCTTTTAACTGGATATATATATTAAGAGAACCCTAGGCCCGCCTATGTGGCACCGCCACAAATTAGGATTCCTTTTAATTTATTTTATTTTCAAAACTAGTCTTCCCCTTTCACGAAAAGTTGTGATTTTTATGAAAAATTGTGACTTTTATGAAGAGTTGTGACTTTTATGAAGAGTTGCCACTTTTATGAAAAGTTGTGACTTTTATGAAAGGTTGTGACCTTTCCGAAGGGTTGTAACTTTTCCAAAGAGTTGTAACCTTTCCGAAAAGTTGTGACTTTTATGAAGAGTTGTCACTTTAATGAAAAGTTGTGACTTTTATGAAAGGTTGTGACCTTTCCGAAGGGTTGTAACTTTCTCAAAGAGTTGTAACATTTCCGATAAGACACAATAATCATTTGTTCACACTTCTCTTTGTTGTCTATAAATAGAGGACTTTACTCTCATTTTAAAACAACGAAAATTTTCAACTTCTTCTTCTTCTGGACAATTAAATATTTGTGTACTTTGCTCCTGTTGAATGACTCATTAACACTAGTGTTTTTGTATCAATACACTGGTGAATAGAATCATTTGATCTTGAGAGGATATATTCCTTTAAACATCTACCCACTAGAGGGGAATAATTTCCTTAAGGGGACACTGTGCATTCAATGGGCTTGATTTTTTTCATTCTGTTTCATTCTATTTTTGGAGATCCTAGTATATTTTTTATGATTATTAATTTATGCTTATAATATTAATTGTTGTTTTTGAGTACATGCTTTAAATTTTGTTGTTTATGTTTATGCAAAGTTATTGTTATAATTTGTTAGTACATATTAAATAACAAACGTTAATTGAGTATTCAAACAGGTTTTCTCTACTGAAATTGTTGAAGGTACAATAAAAAAAGCCCTTACAAATCTCTAATTTCTTCATCAACAACGTCATTCCTTCACATACAAGGACACAATTTTGTGTTCTTTAGAAAATCCTCTGAGAGTTAATAACTTTGCATGCACATATTTTTGGATTTTTATGTTGTTATCTATTACTACTAAATTTTATCCGTGGATATTATTAGTACTTAAATGATTGAAAGTTGATTGAAGTGATAGTCAATTTTTTGAGGTATGTTATTTCAAAACATAGGATCTTTCTGGTTAGAATGATTTGTTATCATCATTGGATATCTCATAGTTTACTCTCTTTAATGTATGTTTTTTCTCGTTGTTTTGTTGTTTCCTTAAAATTATGTTGAATATTTTTCGTTTGGTATGTATATGATCTCACTTGGACAAAACTCTTCGTCCTTTTAATGTTTTTCTTCCTTCTCATTCGGCTCTTCTAAATATTTTTGGTGTGAGTTATGACTATTTTCGGCAAGCTTAATTTGAAGAATATGAAACAAAACCTACTCTAAATAAAAGTAATAACTTAAACTACAAAAGATATGTCTATTAACATAGATTCTTTGTCCTTCCTGTTCCAAGTCATTGCTGAACATTTGAGTTATCTAGGTTAGACTCATTTTTATTTTTTTAATGTTCGAGAATATTTCTTTAACATGAGTCTAGAATCCAACATTTTGATCTACTTGTACTTTCATAATGCAACACTTATACATACATGTTTCTGAAAAAGTCGTAAAGTTGCATTGATGAAACATCTAGAAGGACCTTCAGAGTAGCAGTTTAATGAAGAACGAATTTCTAAAAGGGTCAACAATATTATTTTGCTGTTGTTTCAAATTTATTTTTCTCCTTCTATAAATTTTGTTAGACTAACAAAGTAACAATAACGAAAAGTGGTGAACGTTTGACCTCAGACAAGTAGATTGTATCTACAAAAATTTATTTATGTTATTGTGGTGTATATTTTTTAATGATCTTAACTTATTTATAACTAATATTGATTATAGAAAACTTTTACATAATTTTTTTTTTCACAAGACGTTATTCTAACCATAAAATCATCAGATTCTATATTTTTCATGTAAAAATAAAAAGAAAAAGTGATGTTTAATCACTACATAAAAACATCACTCAATTTTAACAAGACAATTATATCATCAAACATATATTATGATAAATTATGTAAAAGATAAAAATGATTAGATATCAAGATATTTTTAATCATTAATTATATATTTATAATTCTTGAAATATGTGATAATGTCAAATCATTTAATTTCTTTTGAAATGTTCTAAAAACCTACTAAAAATTTTACTTTTTTTTTTTTTCCTGATAACCGTCGATTAGTGGAAAAATTGTTCAAAAGCTTAGAAATCGCGCGGTAAATTACCTAGTGAAATAAAGAAATGACTATAATTAATGATAAGGATAAATTAGGAAGTAAGTATAAAATTATCTAGTAATTTTATGAACTGAACAAATATTGTTAGATATCCCAAAATAATATGGTAGATTGAAGGAAGTATAAACCGGAAAAAAGGAACTGTTCGTTTTGCTGATTAATTTTCGGGCTTAAACCGAAGAAGTAATGCTTCTGAATGCTTGATTGTGTAAGCTGAAAAAAAAAAGATTCTTGGGAATTGGGTAGAAGTTGTTGAGGCTGGTGGCGTTGGTATCTGACATTGAAAATTCAATTTAGGTTTGTGGAAGATAATTATAATGGT